GAGTGAGTGAGTGAGTGAGTGGAGTGAGGTGAGTGAGTTTGTGAGTGAGGTGAGTGAATGAGTGAGTGAGGGGAGTGAGGGGAGTGAGTGAGTGAGTGAGTGAGGTGAGTGAATGAGTGAGTGAATGAGTGAGTGAGTGAATAGAGTGAGTGAATGGAGTGAGGTGAGTGAGTGAATGGAGTGAGGTGAGTGAGTGAGTGGAGTGAGGGGAGGGAGTGAGTGAGTGGAGTGAGGTGAGTGAATGGAGTGAGGTGAGTGAGTGAGTGGAGTGAGTGAGTGAGTGAATGAGTGGCTGAGTGGATTGAGGGGAGTGAGTGAGGGAGTGAGGTGGGTGTGTGAGTGATGAGGGTTGCTATGAGGTGGAGTGCATTCCAGGGCACTGAACAGCAACATGCAGAAAACTAAGTGACTAAAGAGGCAATTTCAAGAACGACAAAAAGGGAAGGAAAATCAATCATGACACATAACTTGTCTGAGAATAGAATTTACACAGTCTTAATGATTTAACCCTGATAATCAATAACCAAAATAATCACATGATGAGATTGAAAGATTTGGAGGAAGGAAGCAGTGGAAAGAGACTTAGATGGCCATCAGTCATGGGAGGGGGGGAGTTAATTGACAATGTCATGAAAACGATGAACCAACGATGAGCACGTTATTTGGAAACATGAAGGACATGTCAAAAGACACAGCTAAAAGTATTTATTTCTGTGGACTAGCAAACATATGTCCGGCATGCACGTGTGTGATAGGGAGAGTAGAGTTCCGCTGTGTGCTCTATGCATACATACATTACATAAAGGAAGTATATCCAATACTGGACTAAGTATACCTGGAAAAAGGCACATTCGGAACACTTCTTCCAAATTTTCTCCGATCTGGGCTTATTCAGACAATATTTGGCATACATCTGAAATTCCTTCTTCTGTGGTTAAAAAAAAATCAACCATATTACCAATTTGTAAACAGGCACTTGTGCTATCAAGGAAGGCTCCACAAGAGTGAGTGTGGTCGAGCAGCATAATTTCCTCACCCCTAACATGCCTGATGACTGGTAGCTAGACCAGGGGCCTTCTTTGCATTGCAAGGGCAGCCCAAGTGGAAGAAGCCTTTAACTCACCCTCTCCAGGAAACAGCGTCCCACTTGTTCTGGTGCGTTCTGGCAATTATCCAGGCTGCTCATGAAAATGCTGTCCAAATTTTAGAGACAAGAGGAGGCCATAATTATATGTACAGCATAAGAAATTGGCCACTCGAGTTGTAAAATAGCATAAACAAATATTCAATTCAGCAATCACATACTCATTGTGGAACTTGTAGATCTCTGCCATATTTCCAAAGAGAACATCCTTGTTATTTCTCAGGAGAGGGGGCATAAGATCATACATCTCTGGATTATCCATCTCTGCTCTGTAGCCCTACACAAAATAAACCAGGTATTCATTTTTATACATATTTACATTAACTTCTAGGTTGGCCGCCAAAGGTGTCATAAGTACAGCACAATAAATAGAGGTTTGGGGGAGGAAGCCTTTTGTCATTTTTCACGTTGCGAGACCCTAATTCCCAAAGTCACCCACTTGTTTTCCTTTAAAGGCAGGAGGGGAAAAAAGTACAGATTTGCTAGTAAAGCGACAGCCCATTGGCCTTCAGGGTAGCTGGTCGTCAAGGGGAACAAAATATAGAAACCAACTGTGAAAAAAATGTAGCACAGGCCATTGACTGTTCCTTAAGCTCCGAGGAAGTGTTGTGGCTTTTTCCAGACCAAATCTGCATCCCAATCCCCAGCCGTCAGTTATTTATGTCACCACCTGGGAAAAGTTATCCCAATCGTCCACCTCTCTCAGAGAATAGCTTCTTTTTTAAAAAAATTAATTCTGGATCACTCCGTCTCACTATTGAAGGGTGGTGAACGCACACCATGATTGCCCAACACTCAAAGGAGAAAACAGAAGCAGAAGATGGCCCCAAGCCCCCTCTGAGGAACGGGGCAGGTAAAGCTGGGACAACACACTTGGAATGCCTTACCAGTAAAGCCGCAAAGAGCTCGCGAACGTACACTCTCTCTGACTGGATCAGTTCATTTAGGACATGGCTAGAATACAGAGAAAGATGATATTCAACAGTTATTTGATTGCCTCGTTATTGCTAAATTGTCCACAAGAATTACTCGGAATTGTCTGCCATATAAATATGTAAATCTATAGGAAATGTCAAGTCTTCTTGGTGGTTTTATCATCAAAATGGGAAATGAATTTCCTAGTTTCTAACTCACAAAGCTCAGGAATCAATTTACTAAAAGCTCACAAGACGTATTTGTGAAGTTGGGGATTAGTTGGGGGGGGGTGCGGGTGGACACAGCACAGTTCTGAGCTATAGTTCCCACTCCCACCCCCCCAAAAAAAAGATATCACATAAGCACCTTTTTTCCCTTGCCCTGAAATTTTTTAAGTAGATTTATTTTTCTGGTCTGCCCAAGTAGAGAGAATGTGTTGAGTTTCTGATAGAATTTTGCTCCCTGTCTCTGAAATATAAAATATACCCTCTCTCCATGGGATTTTCAGTTGGCATCATATTTAAAATCCATTGCCTCATTCTCCAACATAAATAACCCAGTATAATTTAACTTCTAATTTCGGCCTCTCAAAAAAATTATTTTAAAACATGTTTAAGCATTTAACTTTTAAGACTATTTACATATATATTCAAATGTAGATTTATCTGTTCTATTTTGAGCATTTAACATTTAAGAGTTTTGGAATATACACAATGTATATATCATATATTTAAGCATTTAAATATTTGAATATATATTCATATATATATACACATACATGTATGTCTATACAAACACATCTATTAGAGAACTTCAAAAAAGTTTATGGAAAAAGATAATGGAATTTTCCCACAAACTTGTTGAAGGTGCCTTATATATCCATAAAACTTTCCCTAAATATCAGCTACTTACTCACAACTCTGTGACATCAACTTAAATATTAAATGGTCACATGTCTAGAATGTTAGTACCATGTGATAAAAGTGAACATTATTGCTAATATCTCTTCAAAATTATATTGGTTATCTTTATGGTTCTTGATTCCATTCATTTTCACCACGTTTGCTAAAAAGGGTACTGAAATTTTGTAAAAGCCTGGTTACTTTTAGCTCAAGTCATATAACCAAGAACAGCTTAGTCAGGCCTAAACACAGGCCTGCGGACACCTCACTCAGCAGCACCCCTATCTGTGAACCGTGTTCCAAACCCATTCCTGTGGACCACTGCGCCAGAGCCCCCGATGGGTGTATGTGGGGATGCATGCAGGTTAATAAATACTTCTTCAAAATTTCCAAGCTGTTGTCATGCTCCGAAGTGGGGGGTTGACTAGGAGCGCTCTTCTCTTGCCTGTCCTGCACCACTTCCATCTGAAATGATGAAAAGGCAAAGTCACATCTACAGAGGTATATTTCTCATCGAGGAAATTTAAGTCAACTGAGGTTTTCTTGAAGATCCTAACTTTGTAGACACATCACCTGTCCGTCCCCTTATCAAACCTTGCTGCCTTGTATATTGCAATGGTGCTTGGGAACACTGCCATCGGTACTTCATTAACAACAGGGTCACCCCTGGAGGCTAGGTCTCAGTGGAGCTCTAGACTGAAGCACACTAGGAAGGATGGCTTGGCAATATACTTCCCCAAATCAACCAATTAAAAGCCCAGTGGATCCTCCCAGATTATCATCTGATAGAGCACGGAGAGGTAAGTCCCTTAGGTGGGCAGGCACTCAAAATTACACAGTAGCTGCCACCATTGGAATGGAGCATGCCAGTGATCGTGAAGATGGCACAGGACGGGGCAATGCTTGGCTCTGGAGCTGACTCGATGACAACTAACAGTAACAAGATTTCTGTGAAACACTTCGAAGCTAACTCTGTACCACACATTGTTCCAAGTACTTAACAAAGATCAGATCATTTAATCGTTTCACTAAAAATCCTAGGATACAGGTGTTCCAGGATTGCCCTCTATTTTACAGCGGAGGATACTAAGTTCCAGAGAACTTGTCCATGGTTAACACAGTCACACCACCACGTGTGGGAACTCGAATCAAAAGCCAAGTCATCCAGTTCTGTGCTATTGCTATGCTATTCTGCCTTTACAGGATACTTTCTTGTTCTCACGCACCATAGAGGACACAGAGAGAAAATGGAGGGTCTTCGCTGCAGACCCCGGAGTATCCTGGGTAGGGGAGATAGAAGGACCCTCGTTTCTATTTAAAAAATGAATGGATGTCTTTCTGAGCCCAGAGTTAGCCTCTGCGTGGCCCACAGAAACCTGCCTTCTGCCCATGTTTCAGACTTGAAGGCCTGGAGCCATGTATGAAAGAAAGCTCCTTCAGTAGGAAGCTACCACACTGAAGTCAGTGTGTTGAGGGAGCAGGGAGAAAGGAGACGCCTGAAGGAATGTGAGGTGCTGCACAGAAAGAATGCTGAACTGGAGCCAGGACTTGCGATACCACTCATCCATCAGGGGATAGGCCAGTAGTGCAATGAGCCCCAATGCTGTAGCATTTCACTTTCAGAATTAACCAGCTTCCCAATGCACGACATTGATTTAGCGAATAAAGACTATGGTGTAAGCCCTCATGCTGCTTCCACAACTACACCATTAAGCCCAATGTGGGTTTAATGAATGATACTTACTTTCAAATTGCTCTGATTTTCTCTCCAAGGCTTCCCTGGTAGAACAATGTGGACAATGAAAGCAATGGAACAGAATTAAAGTCAGTAAGTATAATGACCACACATACATGTCTAGAGGAAATAACTAAATGCAAAACCCAAACAAAACAAAAATCATTACCATCAGATTGATTCTGACTCATAGCAACCCTATAGGGCAGGGTAGAACTGCCCGAGTGGGTTCCCAAGGCTGAAAATCCTTATGGGAATAAAAAGCCATGCCCTCCTCCCAAGGTTAGTGCTGTTGAACTAATGACCTTAGTTAGCAGCCCAATGCATAACCACTATGCCACCAGGGCAGTTGCTAGTAAATAATTACAGAGATATTTATTAGTATCGGCAGCTAGTTGATATTAGTATATTTAAAAGCAGACTACAGAGAACAAAGACTCATTAGATTTATCTACATGCTCAACTTCTTTTGGAGCCTGATTTTGCTTTGCATTCGTTTGTTCATTCATTCACTCACTCACTCCTCAAAAAACCTCTTGCCAGCTGAGCACTAAAATTAGTATGATTCATCATCCTATTCGCTTATGTGTTCAAGCTGACCTGCTCCCCCCACCTCCTCTCCCCCTCAAGCATTTAATCAGATGTTAACTTATTCATTAACCTCATTGTTATGGATCTGGTTTATGACCTCCTAAATATAGGTTGGAATCTTAACCTGTGTGCAACCACCCATTTAGAAATAAAGGTGTTCTTTGTTATGCTAATGAGAAGGCCATTTCAGTGTAGGATGGGTCTTAAAACCAATCGCCTTTGGAAATATAACAAGAGCAGGTTGGGTGAAGAAGCAATGAAGTGCAAGCCTCAGAAAACAGACACCAGGCAACATGGGGCTTTCCACAGAACACAGGAAAGGCAGCTGAAAAGAGATGAGAACTTTTCTCCACAGCGCGCGCACGCACACACACGCACGCCGTACCCACACACGTACGCAAGCAGCTGGAGAGACCTTTCTTTCACAGCACGCACACACCACCACCACCAACCACCAGCCGCTTCCACCACCACCACCTCCACCACTTTTTGCCTGGATTTGATGCCCTGAATTCAGACTTCTAGCACCCTGAACTGTGGGAAAATGCATTTCTCTTCTTTAAAGTCACTGTCTTGTGATCTTTCTGATAAAGCAGTACTAGATAACTAAGACATGGTTCCAAACAAAAGTATTTTTCGTTTTTGGTGTCAATTTACCCTAACAGTTACGGTATCTAACATTTACTGGGCCCTCACTACATACATTCCAGGCGCTGCTTTATGCACTACATGTCCATTCGGTTTTTAATCCTCAAAAACAACCCTTGTAAGTAGGCACTACTTTGATCCCCATTTTATAAATAAGGACTTAAAGTTAATGGCTTGTTTAAGCAGCTGCAGTAGAATTCCAATCCATACAATCTCCTGTCAGAGTAGAGGTCCTATCCATTTCTGAAAACCAAAAAAATCTCACTACCATCACATGGATTCCTCATAGCGACCATATGAGATAGCGTATAATGGCACTACACCACCAGGGCTTCTATTAGACATTGCTGAATCACAAGATTACTCAAATGACTAATTCTCAAGTGAGCTTCAAAGGAAGTCACAGAGTACGGGTCTCCTCACTCTGGGGAAGGGACACGCTTTTTATCGTTTCCTCTTCAGGAGGAGCCCGTATAAGGCACACTGCTTTCCCTAGACTTTACTCTCCTTCATTTGTCCTACTACTAGACCAGTGTTTCTCAACCTGTGGGTCACGACCCTTTTGGGAGTCGAACGACCCTTTCACAGGGAACGCCCAATTCATAACCGTAGCAAAAGGGCAGTGATGAAGTCGCAACGAAAATCATTTTATGATTGGGGGGGTCAACACAACATGAGGAACTGTATGAAAGGGTCACAGCATCAGGAAGGTTGAGAACCATTGTACTATATGCTCCAGAGACTCTGCATTTTATACTCATTAATTGGTCCTACTGTATACTTTATAGACTCTTATGTCTTACTCTCATTTTTTAAAGGAAAACACACAAATACGTACAAATATAATTTGGGTACACACATAGATATATATCTATATTTTACAGAATTACCCTATATAATCAATTTCTCAAGAATATAGATAATACCCTACTTGAAGGAGATAAGATGCTATTGTTGTTAGGAATTGTGGAGTCTTTCCGGACTCAAAGCAACCCTATGCACAACAGAACCAAACAATGCCTGTCCCCGCATCACCTTCACTAGCGTTTGAATCCATTATTGCATCCGCTATGTGAATCCATCGCATTGGAAGTCTCCCTTTTGTTTTTCATCAAACATGATGTCCTCCAGAGACTGATTCCTCCTAACAATATGTGCACAGTATGTGTGGCAAAGCCATCCTCACTTTGCACATTTCATTATAAAACTCTGCCTTCTGGAGCTACCCTTGAAGTCTCCTGCTGAACTCTTTTACTTCCATAATTTCTTCCATTTCTTTAGCTACTCTACCATCGAACGCAAGTTGCAGAACCTTCTTCTGACACCCTCTTTGTTCTCTTCTTTCTTTCATGTCTTGTGAGTGAGCTTTTGTTTTCTTCATGTATGATGTTCTTGATGTCGTCCCCACACCTCATCAAGGCTTTCAGTCATCAGTGTTCAACGTGGAAGATTAGAGACCCAAAGCCCACCTTTAGACAAATGGACATCCCCTCACAGAAGGGTCACAAGTAAGAGATGAGGCAGTCAGGGTGCAGTATAGCACTGATGAAACACACAGCGTTCCTCTAGTTCTTTAAGGCTTCCTTCCTCACCCCACTATCATGACCTCAATTCCACCTTACAAATTGGATTAGACAAGAATATGTACACGGCTACAGATAAGAGCCCGAAACACAAGGAATCCAGGATAGATAAACCCCTCAGGACCAACAATGAGATTAGAGATACTAGGAGGATAAGAAGAAGGTGGGGGGAGAAAGGAGGAATCAATCATAAAGATCAACATATAGCTGCTTCCCAGGGGGATGAACGATGGAAAAGTGGGTGAAGGATGATATAAGTTATGAAAATAATAATCTATAACTTATCAAGGGTTAATGATGGAGGGAGGGAGGTGGGGGGAATGAGTAGCAGATATCAAGGGCTCAAGTTGAAAGAAAATGCTTTGAAAATGATGACAGCAACATATGTACAAATGTGCTTGACACAATGGATGCATGTATGGATTGTGATAAGAAATGTAAGAGCCCCCAATAAAAGTATTTGATTAAAAAACAATTTTTTTTTCATTCCCGGTATAGTAGACCATATGCTTGCCCAATTGAAAATGGTCGGTACCCCTCAATACAAGTACTCCCTTAACACAAGAACACTTTGTCCTAACAATCCGGCATTCTATGATGCTCACCTTCCCAACACGATCGCTTTGCTGAAGACAAAGCGGGTGCATAAGCAAATGTGGCGAAGAAAGCTGATGGTGCCTGGCTATCAAAAGATATAACATCTGGGGTCTTAAAGGCTTGAAGGTAAACAAGTGGCCACCTAGCTCAGAAGCAACAAAGCCCACATGGAAAAAGCACACCAGCCTGTGCGATCATGAGGTATCGATGGGATCAGGTATCAGGCATGTAAGACCCAGAATAAAACCATACCCAAGGTGAATGGAGTTGGGACATGGAGTGGAGACCCAATGCCCATCTGTAGACAACTGGACATCCCTTCACAGAAGGGTCACAGGGAAGAGATGAGCCAGTCAGGGGGCAGTATAGCACCGATGAAACACACAACTTTCCTCTAGCTCTTTGGTGCTTCCTTCACCCCACTATCATGACCTTAATTCTACTTTACAAATCGAATTAGACAAGAGCATGCCCACTGCTACAGATAAGAGCCCCAGACACAGGGAATCCAGGATAGATAAACTCCTCCAGGCCAATAAGGGGAGTAGAGAGACCAGGAGGATTAGGGGAGGGTGGAGGGAAAGGGAGAATCTATCATAAGGATCAACCTAGAACCCTCTCCCTGGGGGACGAATAATGGAAAAGTGGGTGAGGGATGACAGAAGATGAGGTAAGATATGAAAATAATAATCTACAACTTATCAAGGGTTCGTGAGGGACAGCAGGCGTAGGAGGGAGGTGGAAGAAATGGGGAGCTGATATCAGAGGCTCAAGTGGGAAAAGAATGCTTTGAAAATGATGATGGCGGCAAAAAAAAAAAGAAAATGATGGTGGCATATGTGCGAACGTACTTGACACACTGGGTGAATGTATGGATTGTGATAACAGATGTAAGAGCCCCCAATAAAAGTATTTTTTTAAAACTCAGGAAAAAAAAACAATACCAATCTCTTCTAGCCCTCAAATGCCTAGGATGTCTATCTTTTATGCATTCCATTTCACTCTTTTGACTTCGAATTTTCCTAGCTTCATACATCTTACATTCCATATTCTGATTATTAATGGAGGTTTGCAACTGTTCCTTCTCTTTTTGAGTCGTGCTCCATCAGCAAGCAATGGTCCTGGAAGCTTTGTCCCATCCATGTAATTCAAGTGAACTCCACTTTGAGAAGGCAACTCATCCCCAGTCATCTTTCGAATGCCTTCCAACTCAGGGACTCATCTTCTGGCACTACACTAGACAATGGTCTGCTGCCACTCATAAGGTTCTCACGGGCCACTTTCTTTCAGAAGTCTGTCTATGTCTGGAAGCTCCATTGAAACCTGCCCACCATAAACGATCTTGCTGGTAGTACTTGAAGCACCAGGAGCATAGCTTCCCACATCACAGCAACAAACAAACGAGCACAGTAGGACAAACTGGCAGACAATTGGCGGAAAGAGATCTGATAAGCAGAGATCCAGAACTTATTTATAAAATGATATTAGGGAGCAGTCATTAACTTGACTCTTTCTTTGTATATACATTAAGAGCGATGCACAAAAGATGTATATACAACTTTATGAGAAACATGTTTTCTTTTTCTGAAAAGCAAGGGATATATACATATATAACACAAACACACACATATATATACATTCATTCAACAATGTGAATATATATAAATTTATGTGAGTTTATGTGAATATATATAAAGTTTTATGAATCTAGCATCTCTGTGCTAGATGCTGGCACTTTAAAGATGAATAGCACACAGTCCCTGTCCTTACAGAGCTTACAGACTAGCAGAAAAGACAGAAGAAGAGGCCTTCAATCGCAGACAAAATGCTTGTGGATTTGTTATCATATGAATGCCTATCAGAACTGGGGAGCAGCAGCAGTAAGGAGAAAAAACTTATCTGAGAAAAGTGGCCAAGAGGAGGGGCTACCAAGGTGGAAAGGAAGGAGAAAGGGAAGAGTAGTGTCCCAGAGAAAACAGGATGTGGAGCGTCCCAAAGCTGAGGAAGGCACTAAAGGCATTTGAAGAGGGAGCGTTGGGAGCCAAGCAGACTATTACAGCTATTAAAAGCAACAGATGCACGTAGCTAGGGCTAGGGGAGTTAGCCCTGAAGATGGAGAGGGGATTAGATTTGAGAGGCACTTCAACTTGTACTAGGTGTCACCAAGGTGACCCCAAGGGTTTTTTTCCTGATAAAAGGCAGAGCATGAGTGAGAGAACTCAAGATGATAAGCTCGGAGAACTGGTCAATCACAGGATCAGCCAGGGGCTTTGCAGAGCGTTGGAAGAAGAGAAGATTTGCAGGGGAGATGGAATGGGTTCAACAGGACCATGTTGAGCCTTAGTTGCTCATGGGAACTTCAAGTCAATAAACCACAGCCTCAGGTCTGGAGCTTCAGAAGAAGAACTGAGCCACAAATGTTTGAATTCAAAGTACATTTTACACATCACCTCTCACTGGTAATGTCCTTCTTCAACTGTATTCAATGTTAATTCAGCACATTGTTAGTAAATCCTGCTTGATGCCAGGCATCATGATCGGCGTGGGGTTTGATGCAAAGAAAAACCAAACAAAACTTGAAAAACAGTTTGACTGGCTTGGGTCACAAATAAAAGTGAACTTTGAGGCGCTGCTTAGTAATTTCAAAGTCTTAAGGAATTGTTTGGAACTGACTCTTAATAGTCCCCAGAACTCATGGAGCAATGGAGGTCACATGAACGAAATTTGGTGTATAAATAATGCTTTGCTTTCATTCACAAACGATGGTGAATAAAATCATCATTCATCTCTGTCATTTCTTTAGGGACTTAGCTGCCTTCTCCCTCGTGTATACATTGGACGGAAGTCACCCTAAGCTACTCCCAATAGTTTTATATGGATACCAAGGAAGGCACTGACATAAAAGCGCATTTGATTCACTTTAGCATTCCCTCCAATGGCCATTCTGTGAAAGATGTTGAATTTAGAAGCCTCATTTCCTTTTTTGGTGGTAACTTTTCAAGGTCCGATTCATATTGAGAGAGAATAACAGATGGATGGGTCCTTCTGACCAAAAACCAACAGCTCCTTGCAGGCAAACGTGAGGCTGAAGTACTGCTGTTTTTAGGTGTCAAACTGGTTTTTCACATATATAAGGACTCAGGAAATGTATTGGCTAAAAATAATCTAATAAAGATAAGTACCTTTTGAAAAAAGTTTACATGCTTGAAAGAAAGAGTATCCAATTCCCACTGCAGAAAGAAAAATGTAATGGCATTAAATACAAACATGAGAATGAACGAAGACGAAGGCAAACAAAACATGTGCTTTCAGTGCTAAATGGCTTGAGTGGGTCTTGGCCAGTGTCCTAGAAACCCTGCTCCTTAACTGAAAGGGTAAAACTAAAGGACTCTCCGCTTTCAAGGAATTGACCTGCTATAGAACAATTAAGCAGCAGGAAGTGCCCCCAGAGAGAAGAGACAGTTCCACTCATTGAGGACCATTTTGTAGTCTATGTTTTCATGTTATCTTCACCACAACACTTTGAAACAAGTACACAGTACCATTCCCGTTTTACAGACAAGGAAACTGAGGCTCAGAAAGGTTAAATGAATTGCCGAAGATCACACTACCAGCAGACAGAACCAAAAATCTAAACCTAACCGAGGTCTGTCTGATCCTCAAATCCTAGCTTTTCTCATGCCTTTTAGTATCAACCTATTCGATTTTACTTTCATAGAGAACGGGCTCTATCCACTTATTGTTTGTTTTTGTTCTTTTGCCTTTTTTTTGGGGGGGTGGTATCTTCCTAGTTGATATTATTCATCAAAGCTATTTTCTATAGTTTCACTTATGAGGATCTTTTCACATGTAATAAATATTCATTATAAACCTTTTATTTTCTTAGTCTAGCTGGCTGCTTCTATCACCTCTTTTTTTTTATCTTATTGAGCTATGAGTATATTTTATCATACTTTAGACCTGGCTGAAGAAAATTGCTCTACATCAACGAAGTCCCTGATTGTACTTGAGATATTATGGAGACTGAATTTAAACTGGAATTAGCCCCATGGTCTAAACAGAGCTCCAAAGAACAAATGATCTTCATCTCAGAGACCCACAAAACAGCCCAAGGCAGCTCCTGGAGAAATCGGGTCATCATGATTCCAGAGTTCAACTCCATTAGGAGGACTTCCTTTTTTTCATAAGATTTAGAAAGGAAATGGGCATTACATGGTTAAAATGGATCTACAGGTTAACACGAGAAAATGGGATCTGCAAAAGTTAACTATCAATAAAATTATTGTTTTCCTGCATCCGCTTAGAAAAGGCATTTTATTCTATTATTGAAGCCCTCACTTACCAGAAGCTTAAAAAATCATGCAATAATTTATTCAGTGAATGTGTGTATGTGTAGCAGTTTCATACACTTTCTTCCACCTGATGAAGAACAATGTTTGGTTTTTAATATTTTTAAAGACTTGAAATTTTTTTAAATTTATTTTTAAGACTAGAATACTCAGTCCTGAGATTTGGGTCCACCTGTCCTACACCCATTTACTATTATGTTATCTGGCTGTACTATGTTATCAACCATAACTCCTGCTTATGCGATATAATTTAAGCATCATTAAAGATGCTCAGATAAATTTTCAATTTGTCACGGTTGGAGAATCAATTCAGCACGGACATCAACAGAAACACAGTAAAAAAAATTACAGGAAAGGAAGAGAAAGTAAAGATGAATGTAAGATACGTTACCATGTTTGGGGGCAAAAAATGGTCCTGTGGATTTGATCAAATGGTCTGTTCCAGGTACCACGAATTGCAATGGTCCCATGCACGTATCTTCCAGGTTCCTGAAACCAGCCTGCTGGCTCTCAAATGCACTTCGAATGTTTGCCAGCTTCAGCTGTATGGTCTGCATTTGAATCTGCAAGGATTCCAGGAAACATTTTCTGAATTGAGGTCATTGTAAATCCTTTCAGAGTTCTCAGACTGTCAAAAAATCAGTTCTAATAATAATTTATAAATCATCAAGGGCTCACGAGGGAGGGGGCAGCAGGGAGGGAGGGGAAAAATGAGGACCTAATGCCGGGGGCTTAAGTGGAGAGGAAATGTTTTGAGAATGATGAGGGCAATGAATGTACAAATGTGCTTTACACAATTGATGTATGTATGGATTGTGATAAGAGGTGTATGAGCCCCTAATAAAGCGATTTAAAAAAGGAAAAAGAAAAGAAAACTTGGAGGTCACATGACTTCATCATGATAAAACCAAAAGTATGATGATTAAAAAAAAAGTAGTTCTGAGTTTCCACTATAGTGGAAGACTTTTTAAAAGTGAAGTGAAACAGACTAATGCATTATCGCCACATAGTTATAAACCCAGAGGTGATGATCTCAACCAAAATAACGTGGACAGGAAGTGCCTCATTCAGTGATGGAACTGGTCACTGCACACACTGCTCTACCTGCCAAGGGCTGGAAGGGATAATGGCTAGAAGAGAAGACATTTTACTCTGTTTTTGATGTGACAAAACCGCCAAGTTATGAAAGCAATAAGATAAACAGCACCATTACAGTAGATTTACCCTGCAAGCTACCCTCTATAGGATACTTACACATAGGTGTTACATGCACTGCAAAAGATCCTTGAACATGGTGGAGCATTTAGGGTGCAAAGTAATAAAAATATAGACAAAGCCAAACACCTTGTTGGAATCAATCACTGGGTCTGTGGGCTCAGGACTGTACTCCTGGGGGACACCAAGGTCAATCAACATAACATTGTTCAAAAGTAAGTAGGGTGTTTAAAAACTTGTAAGCAGTCACTTAAGGTATAACTGTTGGCCTCTCGTCGTCTAAAGGAGAGAAGAATGATGAAACTTGAAGACACGACAGACTAAAGGTCCACACCAGCACCAGTCTCCTCAATCCTGAGATCAGAAGCACTAGATGGTGCCTGGCTGCCTCTACCATCTTCCCTGAAAGGGAGCGCGTTAGAAGGTCCTCGAGAGAATGAGAGCAAAATATGGAATACAATTCAAAATCATACCAAATATGAGACTTACTGGTTGGGCAGAGAGATTCATCTGACACTGAACTCACCCTTGTTGCTCAGTTTTCAACCAAACAGTACACAAGTCTATAGAGGGAACAATAACACTAGGGAGGTGCACATTCCTTAGAATAATCAGCCCTGTAGATGGAGCCCTGGTGGTGTAGTGGTTACGAGTTGGACTGATAACCACCAAGTTAGCAATTCAAACCCACCAGTCACTCTGAGGGAGACAGACTTTCTTCTCCTGTAAGCAGTTACACTTTCAGAAACCCACTGGGGCAGTTCTACTCTGTCCTTATAGGGTTGCTATGAGTCGGAATCCAATCGATGGCAGTGATTTGGGTTGGTTTTGTTTGTTTACTTGTTGGTTGAGTTTGAGATCGACAGGGAAACATTTGCCCAATGGCAGCCTTCGGAAGAGGTAGGAAAGGAGGAGGAAGGAAATAGAGGAAATGGGAAAAGTGATGTTACATTATGGGGATTGCAATCAAGGACAAAAAACTAAATGTTATGAATTATTGAATGGAAAATTGACTTGTTCTGTAAACCTTCACCTAGCTCACACACACCCAAAAATAAACAGAGGGGAAAAAGACTCTCATTTTAGTTCGTCATGGTGTAACAGGCTCCTCAGAGCCACAAATAGATGACATATCCGTGTGTCCCTCGTAGCTTGTGCGAGGCAGCTAGAGTTAAGCTAAGTTGTATCTGAGAGAGTGGCTTGGCCTTTACCGCTGCTTTGTGTTTCCCAGGGTGTCCTCTAGTAACTGCAAGTCAATTGGGATACCTCCCCAACCTTACAGTCATCTGCGTGTTGTAGCAGCAAATAACATCGCCAGCACGCTAATCTCTTATTGGTGATACGATACAGAGGCAGTCTTTCATGGCACCTCAAAGAGGGGCAGGATTGCAATAACCTAGAGCTCTCAGTCCTGCTAACACTAACTTCAGCTTGCCTCCCTGCCTCACCAAGAAGGTCCAGATTCCTCCTTCTCACACTGAGGGAGAGCTGCATGTCTGTACCCAGAGAGTGACAGTGGCCACTGCAGCCTAAAGGAAAGATGTTTGGGGTGGAGAGTGGTCTTAACACAGGTGTAGCATTCTCCTAAGGCTGCTTTGGGGCTTTCTCCAAGGAAGCACAAGAAAACCTGTCTGAGAGCTCCCAGCAGGTGGGGAAAAAAATAAAGACAATGAAGCCAGTGCTCCAAATGGACACTGTTCTTTTTCTGGACTCTCTGCTGCTTCACAGGGGCACCACGATGATTCTTCACCCTTCAAAGAACTAGGTAATTGCACTTTGTGGGAGGGTTAGCTGGGAAGTAATCTAACGTGTCCCCATATGATGCCAATTAGAATCTGATTTAAGTTGCTGTTTTCTTTAACCGTCCTACCTTGAGTTCAGGCGACAGAATGGTGTCAAATTCATACTGCAGTCTTTCTATATCATAATTTATAAAAGGCAGAGACATGTCAAGAAAATTCTCGATGTCTTGAAGCGCTTTCTCAGCATCTTCTTTTGATTGCAATTTATCGATTTCATGATTAACAATAAGGCCTTCTCCTTCATCACAGCACTGCCGAGCCTGGGGCAACATCAAGGGGGAAACACACATTCACTATGAAGAAGCAGGAAATGCATTCATCCAGGAAGAGAGCAGTTATCAGCCCAGATTTCTGTGACTCAGAGGCTCATTCTGAGCTCCCCCCACCCACCCCAATGAAGACACCTGATCCAGTCGTTCTGGGCTGGTCTTTTGAAGGCACAGCCAAGGTTGGGACCCAGGGCCTTCATTTCATGGCAAGGGCTTCCTTCTGCCTCGGGATCTGATCATCCTCTCAACCGGGCTGCTTCAGCTAGGTGGGGTTTCCCCCAAATCAATAATGAGAATGTAATATGAAACCCCTCGCCAAATAGAAGGAGTGTCTAGATGAAAAGGGGTATGATCAGCTCTGGCCCATGTAAGTGACACTCCCCCCTCCCCCGTCACACTGCAGACCATCCCTGCGGGGTGACCGTTCAATTCATTACAGACTCGTGAAAGGCAGGGCCAGGGAGCACTGTCTTCTGGTCGCTGTTGCCATGCTCATTGCTATACCATAACATGAACTCAGTGTTTACCGTCTCAGCCAAATATCCCCCCGTGACTTTGAAATAGTAGACAGGAAGCTCTCCTGCCGTTCCACTACTCAGAACAGAAACCCTGATTCTCACAATCCTGAAGCCAGCTCAGTTCTTCCGGCCTCTTGATCAATTCTATTCCAAAGCTCCACCTGACCCTAACTCCCCCACCCCCACCCCCAACCTACAGGGAGACCACGCGTGGGTCAGGAGTGCCAGGCCAGGAGACACGGAGACACACATGTCTCGAGGCGGGCCCTTCATTGTCCGTGAGACTACCTGCTGCAGGAGCTTATGCATCTTGAAGACCCGGCTGAGCCGCAGTTGCTTTGCTTTGATCTCGTTCCCCACTATATCGGTGAGGTAGCGCAGCTCATTGCACCGCTGGCAGATCAAGTCCAGCGCGTAGTGGTGGTTGGAGGCCAGCCTGTGTCCATGTAAGATCACAAACCGGGTCTTCGTGAGCAGATTCTGAGGTTTAAAAGAGAGGCAAACTGATGACCACGTGATCATGCGGGGTGGGGGGCAGAGAGAGAAGGAAGAGCAGCAGTAGCGAGTTCCTTTCATCGGGGTGTCAATGAGCTCCAGTGGGAACGCCACCCCAAGCATTCTCTTCCTCTGCCAAGTTTCCACCTTATCCACGTTCGAGCTCTCAGAGGTTTTATTATATCAAACAAAAGCTAGCGTAGCCCCATCACCTTGGTCTCAGAAACCTCCCCGGTGCTGAGGTCACCTGCCTACTTTTACAAGCCAGCAGTGAACATCGCAGGGCTTCCGAGTCAAATGGGCTCTTAGCCGCCTTGCCTCTACCCTGTGAACGACTGCTTCTCCTGCACCGGGTCTGCAAGATGATCAAAATGAAAACCAAACCCAAGGGTACCCAGTCCATTCTGACTCGTAATGATCCTCAAAGGGCCAAGTAGAGCTTCTGCCTCGAGTTTCTGAGACTCTACGTCTTCATGGGAGCCAACAGCCTCGCCTTTCTCCGCACAGCGGCTGGTGGCCTCCAATTGCCCACTTAACCCAATTGCCCAGTAGCCCAATGCTTAACCCACTGCACTGCCGGGCTCCTTGAGACCTGGTAAGCACTGAGGAGATGCTTGTCCAAGGAACATCATGGAAGTGGAAGCCCTGAAGGAGAACGTGCCCAGTCTAGCTAGCTAGTGGGAAAACCAACCCTGAAATGAAAGCCCCCATGTTTCCAGGGTGGTTGCTTTCCCTTTTTACCCTCCCCTGAGGCTATGTAAATTGTCCCACAATCCCAGAGATCTACAAGGATAATTCCAGAACTGGTCACTGCTGTTGCTGCCTCTCAATTTATGCTCTTAGATTCTGGTGATTCAGGAAGTGATTTGTTTGCCGAAAATACCAAAGCCAGACATTATTCTCCCATACAAGCCAGGGCAGCAAGGCTAGAAGCTAGAGTTTTTTACAGATTAAAGTCCTGAATCTAACCTTACAGACGAGCAGGAATAGTGACAGCCACCTTTTACATATGTGTGTATGTATATATATATACACATGTGTCCAATATATGTGCACATATATCCACAAACATAATATATACACCCATATATACATACACACACATATGTATATAATCTTGTATACATATAAGTGTAATATCTGGGGAATTTCTAAAAGAGAAATAATTGAGTTAAAAATGCATCTACAGCCTTAAAAGATATTAATGGATTCTTCTTAAAAGCAAACATCTTGAGGCAGCCACCTCTTTGGAGTACTTACTATGTCCCACGTACTGCGCTAAGTGCGTTAGAAACACCCTCTAGATGAAATATCGCAATTGTTCCATCAGATTTTATCCCCAATGCCAAGAAGAGGAAAGTGAGGCTTAGACCATTACTTCTGCCTAGGTTACACAGAGAGTCAGGTCACACAGCTAGTAAGACTAAGTAGCTTTATCTGCTAGAGTCTGTGTTCAGTTCAACTGCATTAACCACGTGCTGGAGATCTAAGGAATGGGCTGTTCGTTGGTTTTCTGCTGTGTCCACGATGAGCATTACCAAGGACCAAATAGAGTTCTTCATGAATATTTTTCTAGCTTCCTCAAAATCAATTATGTCCATGTTCACATGGGTACACTTGAAAGTCTCAGAGGCCTTTTGCTACAATTACAGGATATAGCTGCCATGTCAGCCATGGCCTGCATTGAACATAACTTAGAACATAGACTGGGAGTCTTGTGCCGATTGTATAGCATGTTCCTATGCCCAATCAATTGGCAAGCTTTATACTACTTCATCCCATCCCAACATGACTGTCACTTTGCATCAATATAGTAAACATTTCGAAAGTAATCTCACCTGAGAATTTTCTTCCAAACTGTCCAACATTCTCAGTTTCTGTCTTATTTGAGCTATGTTCCCCGACACATCACCCAGCTCTGCTTGTTGGTTTAAGATCAGTTCGATTTCGTTCATGAGCTAAGTGGGAAATAGATAGTTTTAAGGACATATAAAGAAAGTGTTAAGGGTTTTCCTTTTATAGTCATGTTTTGTACAAAATGCCATTTTAAAAAAGAAAGCTGTCATGGAAAAATTGGTGATATAGAAAAAAAGAGCCAGTTATTTTATTCACAGTAATAAATATCATGTGTTCAAATTTAACCTCCAAGCTATCAGTGTGAACTCATAGTTTCTGAAATATCAATGTGGACATGCATGTATATGTTGACATGCCTCAAAAAGTTCATGAACATTTTTCATGATCTTTTCATTCTATTTTCTATTAACTTTGTTGAAGCTCCCTAATGCAAGAAACTATACGTGTGTATATACACATATCTATATTCCCCAGCTCTGGGGGGAACAGGCTTAAAAGACCCTTTAAGAATAATGATCACACCTGGTACCCAGATCTTTAATATCACTGCCCCCAAAAAGACATCAGTCCTCCCAAAGATGTCAGAGATGTAATTGATTAATATGGCTTTTCTAGCCATAATTCTTTCTGTGGTGTACTATCATTCAGGGCTCTATGTCTATGACTATAACCTCATATTAGAGGAAGTTTCCTGCTATGCTAATGGGGACAGGATTAATCCAGTAGAGGATTTGAACCAAGTCATACCCTTTGTTTCCTTGGGGGTATGGTCTGCTAAAAGACAAAAATAACCCTCGGTGAGACAATGCAGAAGGGTAGCCCAGGAAATGAAGGACCATCTCAGACACAGAAAATTTCCACATTCGAAGAACACATTTGAAATCTCTGATGTGGCACAGGCCACGAAGCCCGAAGGCACAAACCCGAGACTGTGGCACAGAGATTCAGAGGAACTGCACTGAGACTACGGGGTACCTTCTTCTCACCGGACCCCAGACTATGGTACTACTGTGAGACAGAACAACAAGCAAGATTCCTGATCCACTGAGTCAAAGGCTACGGCATCAGGTGGCTAAGAGGTTGAGAGCTAGAGTTGAATGAGGAGAGATGTTTCTGGGAAGCAAGGGCTGTATCCGTACTGTTTCCTGATCCTGACTTGTGGTAACCTGTTAACTCCCTAAATAAACCCCATGAATTGTGAGCATTGTCTTTGAAGTCTCTGTGGCCCTCACAAGAATTATCAAACCCAGCATGGAAATAGAATGTTGTGGGAGGAACAACTGGTGTCAGAAAACAGACAAAGAAGGATAAAGATGGAGACCTGTCTGACCCCTGTCTGGGAGCAGTAGGGAAGCCCGAGGAGGTCAGATATGGCCTGCCATGCTGTTTCTTGCAGTGGCTGATTCCAATGCTGAAACACAGCAGGTTCAAGATGAGTTTGGAATATCTCTTTATGCCACTCAGTTAAAAAGTGATAAAACAAAGAAACAAAAAGAATGCTGGGACATATCACAAGGGCGCAATAGCCAGTTTGAAACCCCCAAATGGTGGAAAACAGGAAGGAGTTATAAACAACCCCAAATCCATGAAGCCAATAAGTAGATTAATAAAGAGATGAGGAGAGGGGAGCGGGGAGGGAGGGGGGAAAATGAGGAGCTGATATCAAGGGCCCAAGTAGAAAGCAAATGTTTTGAGAAAGATGGTGGCAACGAATGTACAAATGTGCTTGACACAATGGATGGATGTATGGATTGTGATAAGAGTTGTATGAGCCCCCAATAAAATTATTTACCAAAAAAAAACAAGAGCATAAGAAGTACTGGCATGGATGTGGAGAAATGGGACCACTTACCCACTACCAATGCATGACGCAGTAGCTACTCAAAAAGTTTGGTAGGTCCTCAAAAAGTTAAACATGCAGTAACCACAACTGAGCAATTCAATCCAAGAAATATGTAAATAGACATCCACAAACTTATATATGAATATTCAATGCAGTATTGTTCATAACAGTCAAAATGTGGAATAGCCAACCTAAACAGTCGGTAACTGATGAATGAAGGAGTGTAGTATGCCCCTATGACGGAATTTCACACCGCGATAAAAAAGAATGATGTGCTGATACATACTATAACATGGAAGTTCTTTGCAAAGATTGTAATAAGTGAGAGAACCTAGTCATAGACGGTCACATGTCCCTCTTATGTAAAATGTCCAGTACAGACAAATCCACAGAGATCAGGAAGAAAATGTAGAGTAAATGCTAATGTGTACAGTTTCTTTGTGGGGATCATGAAAATGTTGTAGAACTAGATCGTAGTGATGGTCGCACAACTCTAGCTATACTTTAAACTACTAAACTGTACACTCCAAAGATGAAACTTGAACTCTACCTCAGTAAGTCTCTACACAAAGGGAGGGTATGTAAGTGGTAGTTACGACTAGGCCAAAGACAAGAATATAAAACACGCGCGCGCACACACACACACACACGAACACACACACTGGCACGTCTCGTTTTCTATACAAACAGAAAGGTAGCGATCAGAAATTTCAGAACTAGAAGGATCCTGAGAAAACCCTCAGATCAACTCTTACACATGAAGAAACTATGGTCAAAAACTATGATCAAAAAGTTCTAGCCAGAGTTAAGACTAGAACTAAAGTTAAACCTGAATCCTGTGAGAGATCCTCTAATTCCATACTTTAAAATGTGTCAGAACCAAGCCAACATCAACCAACTGACTTCTGCAGGCCTCAACCTCTAATAACCTTTCTCCAGTGGCTATCAGTTGTTTTAAGGCAAATCCCTTTTCTATAAATTCATTAACCTTTGGATACAGAAAAGGCCAGTCATACACTTATTACTCTTCTACGATTTTGTGCTTTTTACACAGTATTGTTCTGACCTGAATGTATCTGTGATTGAAAGGGGCGTATTTATTGAACTGGCCTCCAGGCTCACACATTTGAGGATGAATTTCACCAGGCTTGCGTGTATATTACAGGGGACTTTCCTGGATGAAAAAAAGAGAACCATCCCTGCCGTGCACCAGATGGAAGAAAGTACAGTAGTTTCCTCTCCTCTAATCACAGTCACTCAGGGTTTATAAGATATAAATAGCTCTTAAGACAGAATCCATGAAGTAATGCCATTTGTAGGGAGTACAAAAGCAGATTGGCAAGGGGCAAGCAACCTCTAGACAAAGATAAAACGTGCTTCTGAGAGCCCTCAAAGCTAAGAAGGCATAAAGGTCTAACGTTGAAAACAGCCTTAATTTGAGATACAGACTCTTCCCCTAACTAAAGAAAGAAGGAAGGAAGGTCGTTTCTGATGAGCAGTTTACCCACTAAGAAGGGAACCAGCTATATCTTTGACTCTTGATAATGGGAATGGAGCAAAATGATACTTCTCAGGACATGTAACATTCCCAAGCTTGCAAATGTGTAGCTTCTCGCCTTGGGAAGAAATTGGACAAAGACACAGTAACTAACTTCATCTGAGACAAGCAAAGGAGTGAGACCAACATTTAGAGCCCCCACCTACCCCATCCTGGCCTTCTGATGAATCCTCATGCCAGCCTGTGTAGGAAACCTTCCCATGCCTATTTCACACAAAAGGAATCTCTCTGTGACTCAGGCAGGGCTGGAGTGTCCTCCAAGGCTTGGGTTGGCTATGCCCTGCATGACCATACACTCACCTTCCTCCCTGCCCCAGCTGCTCGCCCCTTCTCTCCTCTGTGCTTGCTGAATCTACTTAGGCTGTTGACTCTCCACACACCTAACCACCCTGTTGAAGCTGCCCAATGAGGAAAGCCCAAAATGAACAATAAAATTCTGACTAATTCAATGGACTGTGCTCAAGTTTTGGATCTTTGACAAATGATCACATTAAATATGGAAGTCAACTTCCTGGGTTGAAAATGACTCAATGGCATAACAGGAAGAAGATTAAAAACCCTTAGTTTAATTAAAAGTAGTCTTTTGGAATCTAAGGATAACTACAAATAAAAGTCTCATTTATGAATGACAGGGACATGGAGATTTATGAATGACAGGGACATGGAGATTTATGAATGACAGGGACATGGAGAATACGACTTGCAGGTCAGAATAAACCCCAAACCCACTGCCACTGAGTCAATTCTGACTCAAGTTTCAAGACGGTGGTTCTTCACAGGAACAGGCAGCCTCATCTTTCTCTG